AAAACCCCAAAACCCCAACTCTGTAAATTTAAATTAAATATTAATAAATTAGGCTGAGATGATGAATACTTTAATGCTACTTCTAATGATTGTCAAAGTATATTTTATAGTTGCTTAATTATTACATTGCTTTTAGAATGCTAGGATCAGGCCTTTGGTTGCATTTAATGCAAACTTGAATAATTAGACCTAAATAAAACAAAATTTGAATGCTTAGGCTGTTGGAGTGGATTATATCTCATTTAAAGTCAATTTTCTACTAAAAATATCAGTTTTTGTACCCCTGATTGCTCATAAACTCATAAATCTTTCATAAATGGGATCATAGATTCTATCTGTCTTCGTAATAAATAAAATAAAAATATTTGAATGTATAGAGTGCGGGGAAGATTGTTAATCTTGCAATTCAAAAACTGGGTGCGAGATTTGTCCTGGGGAAGAGCAATCAAAGGGATGGGTTAAAAAGTAGGAGAACACAATTAGAGAATTTTAACTAGAAAATAATTTTAGAAAATGCCAAAGTATATCTTAATCTATTTATTAACTTTTAGTTTGTTAAAGTAAATATACTTGTGAAAAATGTTCTTAAAATGATACAACTTATTGCACATAATTTACATTTCCTATAAATCAAATGTCTTAATTGACAGGTGATAATATGCATCCCTGCAGTAAGCAAGTTATTTTTAAAATTTTCAAATAGGTCCTCTTAATGAGTCATCCTAAAGCTCGGATCCTAATTGCTTGATATTTGACTTTGTGAATTAATATAATTGTATTAAATGCAAAGATGGATTCTATTTAAAAACTAAATCATTCTTCAATCAAACCACTCAAAACTATCAAGATACTTGCTTAGAATGTATTGAATCTTCGATCACTAACCTATATATAGACTCACAGAAATATATCTGTCTCGAAGCTAAGAATGAAGATAATTGTGAAATCTGCTTAGAAGGCTATAGCCTATATAATGATACGGATGGAAATCAAAAATGTCAAAGTAAATAAATTCTTTAAAATTTCTCATTAAAAATTTCTTCTAAATCATTAAAATTTATTAGAGTGTGATAATGATATTCAGACTCAGGTAGAAAATGTACTAACTTCAATTCCTACAAGATGCAATTTTACCTTTGACGCCTAATTAGGCAAGCCAATCTAGCAATTTATATTGGCATGCAATGAAGGGTTCGTTGATCCATTGACTAATTAATGTACAAGTAATTGTGGTCTAGGGAGGTATGGAGAAGTATCCTTTAATAGAAGAGGATTTATTGAAACTTCAAAATGCTCCTAATGCGATGATAATTGCTTTGAATGTGCTTCACAGACAGAGTGTATCTCTTGCAAGAAAGGATTTTATCTGCAGGCAGATTCCACATCTAAAACTACTGGCTTATGCATTTAAAAATAGGGATCTAGAGAGATTACAATTTATGTTGACAGTGCTCTTGGTAAGTTTACATTAGATTAGACAACTGGCTTAACTCTAGATGATCCTATCTTTTCATTGTAAAGTGCAATAGTAAGGGCTTATGAATATGGTGCTCAGTATTAGTAAGCTATTATTAAAATAAAATTAATCCCTGGAAAAGTTCACTCAATGCAGCGTTATGTTAAAGATCAAATTTTACCTAGAGCCACTGACGAAAATTCGCAATCAATATCTATTTAAATTGATTCATTAGACGGATCTCAAGTTAGAGTTCTATATAAACTAAGAGATAAATTTAATTTTCTCATTGGTGGAGGTTTAGAAATTAGAAATGTTATT